AAAAAATAAGCCAAGGCCTCCACCACAGGCCTTCACACCCGACAACTGCTGTTTGTGATCTGATCCAGATGCACTTCCTGTCGAGTTTGAGAGAGAGAGAGAGAGAATGAGAGGGAGAGAAAAAGACACTCCCTCTTCTTCCTCCCCTCTCCTAACTGCAAACACGTGAACTTCCAGTCTCTAGGCGTCTAACGTGGCCCAGTTTTGCAGTGTGCCTCTCTCCTGAGGCCCGAGTCTGACCCGACAAACACGGCACCGCGTCCGTCTCTCTGCATCTCGACCAACGGAGACGTTATGGCACGACTGAACATGACTGAGCCTGAAAACAGGCGATGGGTGACAAACCTGAGGGACTGCATTCGGTTCCGCTGAATTCCTTTCAGCTGTGTCTGAGCTTGGGATCAGAAATTGGCTAGAAATTTTCCATTTGAACTTCCATTAACCTCCGTGGTTCCAAAACGCACTTTGTCATATTCTTTACTTCATAACTTTCATATTTCATAAGCTACTCGGATCTCAGATGGTGTCTCTTCTACGACGGCGTTTTAGGGCCACTGTTAAAAATAAAAACAGTAAACTTCAAGGAAAAAAGACGCAATATTTCGAGAAGAAAGTTGTGATATTTGGAGGATAAAGTGGGCTGCTGTACTGTTGGGGGGCTGCCATAACACGTTGGGGTCTCGGTTGCTGTACTGGCGCCGGAGCTCCACTCACTCCTGTCTCTCTGTGGATCATTTTGATCATCATTCTCACTGTCTGTGAAACTTCATGCCCTCTTTGAATGGGGGGAGATGGAGCCCCCGATAGCCGTGTAGACGACCCTGCCTGAGATTCTCCTTCAACAACACAGACAGACAGTTTCCTCCGAGTCCGTCTGGCTCTTTATTCTAGATAAACACAGTTTCCTGCTCAGCCGTTTCAGCCGGTTCTTATACTATAACAGGCTGGTGCTGATGAGCAGGAGAGACAGGGAGACTGAGTGTTTCTTTATGGGTGAATCGATATGAAAGTAGAACTCCACCAACTCACCGCCCCTCATTTAACACGAGGAGGTGCTGCTTCACTTCGCAAAGCTATTGGCCACAATATTGCGACCTTTCCTGGTATTAATGCCACTTTAATGTTGTAATTATACACATTTTTTCTCTAAATATTATGATTTTTTTTTCCTCAAAGTATTAGAAATATTAGACTTTATTCTCAAAGTCTACTATTTTTATTTTTATTAACTGTGGCCCTAAAACGCCATCGTACTTCTCAGTGAAATACACTGTAAAACATTTTTACTTTTTTGGCTTTCAGCAGTAAATTGTATGCATATGACTTATGATATGTTTATGATCATAAAACACACTTTCTGTTAATTTAAGGGGAGCTTTTACAAAAAAACACCAACACTTTACATTTATTTCTTGCAGTTACTAAATAACTTGCCTCAGGATTTGGGGATGTAAATTCAGATGGAAAAACTGAAATATACCCTGGAGAATAACTGGTTAAAGCAAAGATCTGGGCTGATGAACAATAATTAACAGTTTACTATGGCTTATTCTGACACATAATCAATACTAACACTAACACTAACACTGTAATCCATTTGTGAAGCGCAGTGAGCTGAAAACAGGTTAAACAATGGATCACTGATTAATATCACTGAGTGTGAAGTTCACACATGCCCACCACTCGTGACTAAACGTGTGTCAGTGCAAGGAATCAGTTACTAGCTGCAGTTCCAATAGCAGTCGGATAACTATTACACTTTCCTGTTAATCAGCGGCTGAATCACACAAACCCCCGGTTTAAAGGACATGGAAAACTCCACTGAGAGTCACTTTCACCGATTTTCATTGTTCAGATGTAAACAAAGTAATTCAGCGTGATTTGGAGTGAAAAGCTCCGCTTCTGAGTAACTCAACAAATCAGATTTGGTGAAAACGGAGGTGATTAGAACCAGGGGTCACAGTACCTAGAACACAGATATCTAAAACTATGGAAAAACAATGTCTCAGGCATGAGACAGCATATTAGGGTAGCTGTGAGGCACCTAGGAACCAATCACAATCCAATTGTAAGAGGGAGTCATAGAGTTTCTGACTGTCAGTGGAAGATGGCTCCCTTCAGTCTGAGAGGAGATGAGACCCCTGAGCAGAAAGCGTTCTGCGTTCTCCACTTCAATAAGAGTGAATCCGTCATAACTGTGCAGAGTGATTTTCGTGGGCAGTGAAGCTCCAACAGCTCAGAGCGTTCGTCGTTGGTTCCACAACACTGGATGATCTCCGAAATCGCACTGAAAGAGCCGTGAGTGCAGCGACACCCGACATGCTCAATCCAGTATGGGATGAATCTGACTGTGGCGTTGATGTTGTCCGTACAGCTGGAGGAGGTTCATACTGAGACCTTGTACAATTACATAATAAACTTTAAGCTCATTTAAACCATTTACAGTTCACTGCATTGATCTGTAACGATTTACACGTGAAATAAACCATTTTGAAATCGGATGAATCTTTTTGAATCACCCTGTACTTTCAGTGAGGTCGCTTTCAGACTCTTCAGACGTCTGGTTCCTATCATCACCACTGTGAACGATTCTGACTCTCCAAGGTTTCCTGTAACGTATGTGTCTTAACCATATAATTATGCATAAATGCGTCGTGAAAAATAAGTGTAATATGCCTTTAAGAGCCTCTCTCATATGATTTCACATACAAAAATGAAAGTTGGGCAACCTCTGAACTCACACAGTCCACATTCTAGACCAACTCCACCATGTGCCTGAAAGAAAAGTGAAAGTGAGCCGGTGGTAAGTTGTCTAACTTGCCTAACCCACACCCTGATCAAGACTAACCTATTTAAGTTCACCTGTTCTTGTATGTACAACTATGCAACAACACAGACCGTCTCATTTGGACGATTAGTTAAGTTTCATTTTCAGTTATGATTGTGGCTTCAAATGATTATGAAAACATAAAGGCTTATTGTGCTGTATTACATTTCGCCATGATACTCTCTCGCTTTGCCTTGTGTTATAAATGCAGTGCACCTTTTCCCTTTTTGGTACCAAATGACAGAATTCGTAGTACTGAAGTGGAAAAGTACTGAATTTCAATACTAAGCCGGGCCAGCCTCAAACTTCCCTGAACAGTATATTAATGCTGAATATACACCGATCAGGCATAACATAACATCCTCGTTTCTGCGCTCATTGTCCATTTTATCAGCTCCACTTACTATATAGGTGCACTTTGTAGTTCTACAGTTACACGTGGTGGTGGTGTGTTAGTGTGTGTTGCGCTGGTATGAGTGGATCAGACATCAGAGTACGAGTGTCCACTCACTGTCCACTCTATTAGACACTCCTATCTTGTCAGTCCACCTTGTGGATGTAAAGTCAGCCGACGAGAGACGATAGCTCATCTGCTGCTGCACAGTTTGTGTTGGTCATCCTCTAGTCCTTCATCAGTGGTCACAGGACGCTGTTGGCTGGATATTTTTGGTTGGTGTCTGATCCACTCATACCAGCGCAACACACACTAACACACCGCCACCACATCAGTGTTACTGCAGTGCTGAGAACGATCGACCACCCAAATAGTACCTGCTCTGTGAGGGTCCATGGGGGTCCTGACCACTGAAGAACAGGGTAAAAGGGGGCTAACAAAGTATCAGAGAAACAGATGGACTACAGTCTGTAACTGTAGAACTACAAAGTGCACCTATATAGTAAGTGGAGCTGATAACATGGACAATAAGCGTAGAAACAAGGTCATAATGTTATGCCTGATCGGTGTATATTTTTGTATAGTTTTCAGTAGGTTGTGGCAGTAAAAATACATAGAAATAATAAAATCAAACTAGTCCAAATTAAATTATATCACATTTGATATGAATTAACTTTGACTCATTTATTTTGATTTGCTATTGGTATACATTTTAGTAGTTTTCAGTAGGCTGTTGAAGTGCACTACAACAGAGTTGACTTTATATCATTTGATCTGATTTATTTTTGTGCTATAATTATGTATATTATGCATTTTTAATATAGGTATACTAAATATATTATTTACATAATACTTTTTTGACAGTTTTAAGTTTGTTTTCAGGTGCTTTATATTTAAAGTTCAAGGAAATTAGAAGTTAAATACATGCATGCTAAATGAGGTTATCGTGTTAAATAATCATGACTTCAATACCGACCAAAATAATCGTGATTATGATTCCGGCCGTAATCGAGCGACCCTTCCTTCACTGTATGTAAATAATAACCACGCACAAACACATGAGGACCACCAGAAACCACATGTGGTTTACGCTGCCCCATTAAGGCAAATAAGGCAGACAAGCAACAATAACGTTAGTTTGAGTGTGAAATGTTCCAGCAAGGCGGTGAAAACAGCGCAAGAAGACGAGTTAAACGCTTAAACAGGACTTAAATCACCTGCCAGCCAACACGACAAGTGTCAAAGTGTACTCGGCCATAAACACAGCAGCCTGACGTGGCAACACATGGAGGAAACTAATGATGTACTGACCTATTTTTCAGCCCTGAAGGAAGCGTGTTTTTCTGAAAAGCCAACAGATAAGACGGATAAGCCTGTCAGCGGTCGGGTCAACATGTCTTGAGAGCAGCTTCCCAACACAGCAGCGCAGTCTTCCCATATTTCTGGTCGAAAACGGGCTGAAGTTGGCTTCTTTTCTTCGAATTTTCCCGTTCCACCTTAAAAGGCGCCTGCATGTAACGTTAATCGCTGCACTATTTAAGGTGGGACGGGAAAATTGGAAAGAGAAGCTGGCGAATAAGGCGCTCTTCGTAAAATGGTTACGGTAACGTTAAGCTAGCAGCAGCGGGCTAGCTGGGTTAAACTGAGGTAAACATTACCTCAGAGCAGAATAACGACACGGGTCCACACAAAAACCGCGTAACTAGAAATAATACACCCAGATGTTGTCACACAGAAATCTTCAGGCGAGAAAAGGGCAGTTCGTGATGTTTCACTCACCGTGTTTTCTGTTTTTCCTCAGCGGCGACTTGTAGCTCGTCTCACTGGAGAGGAGTGAGAGATGTGGCGTATAAACTGGACCTCAAACCGCGCCGCGCTGGTCGCGTAACTCTGAGGGAAAAACACAAACGTAGCTACGGATTTTTCCTCTGAGCTCGATTCTGCTGCGACCACAACAAACTGTCTGTCTTTCTTTATGTAAATTGAGCCCGTCCTGGTGCGGACAGGCCGCTCGGACAGACGGAGCCGCTGTGTACTGACGTTTTCTGCTCCACTCTGAAGGCTGAACGCTTCGCAGAGACGGAGGAGGAGAAGGAGGGGGATCCCGTCTTTTCCCACAACACCCCGCGGTCTGTTACGCAAAACCAATCCCGCCTCTCGCTCCCGCTGTCCAATCAGAAGGCTGGATTCGGATCCGTTACTCGGAGCCGCTTTACTGGCGCGTTGTCCCTATTTAACCATTTCACACCTTAAATTCTGTGCCACCTTAAAAGAAGTTCCACCTTATATTCTGTGCCACCTTAATTTTAGTGCTACCTGAAAGAGAGTGCCACCTTAAATTCTGTGCCACCTTATATTCTGTGCCACCTTAATTTCAGTGCTACCTTAAAGAGAGTTCCACCTTAAATTCTGTGCCACCTTAATTTTAGTGCTACCTTAAAGAGAGTTCCACCTTAAATTCTGTGCCAACTTAAATGAAGTTCCACCTTAAATTTTGTGCCACCTTAATTTTAGTGCTACCTTAAAGAGAGTGCCACCTTAAATTCTGTGCCACCTTAAATAAAGTTCCACCTTAAATTCTGTGCCACCTTAAATAAAGTTCCACCTTAAATCCTGTACCACCTTAAATAAGGTTCTACCTTAAATTCTGTGCCACCTTAAATAAGGTTCCACCTTAAATCCTGTGCCACCTTAAATTCTGTGCCACCTTAAATAAAGTTCCGCCTTATGTTGTGTGCCACCTTAATTTTAGTGCTACCTTAAAGAGAGTTCCACCTTAAATTCTGTGCCAACTTAAATGAAGTTCCACCTTAAATTTTGTGCCACCTTAATTTTAGTGCTACCTTAAAGAGAGTTCCACCTTAAATTCTGTACCACCTTAAATAAGGTTCTACCTTAAATTCTGTGCCACCTTAATTTCAGTGCTACTTTAAATCGGAGCCGCTGTGTACTGACGTTTTCTGCTCCACTCTGAAGGCTGAACTCTTCGCAGAGACGGAGGAGGAGAAGGAGGGGGATCCCGTCTTTTCCCACAACACCCCGCGGTCTGTTACGCAAAACCAATCCCGCCTCTCGCTCCCGCTGTCCAATCAGAAGTCTAGATTCTGACCCGTTTCTCAGAGCCGCTTTACTGGCGCGCCTTATTTAACTATTTCACACCCGACGACTACATTTAAAGGGCAACTCCACTGATTTTCCAAACTTTCTAAAATCTAGATTTTAGATCTATAATTAAATGAATGTGAACTACGTCACTCAGAGTGATTCGGTTTGAAATGATTTACAGGAGAGGGAAAAAACACACTCTACTTTTAATGTAAGTCAATGGAACCAGACTTTTTTCCAAGTCATTTTGGGTCATTTCTGTTGGTCCATTCATCATGAAATTTACACACAATGTAAAGGACAACGGGTATTTTCAACAAGCTGTCCAGTCAGAGTTGTTCACAGTGGTGGTAATGGGAACCAGACGCCCGAAGACTTTAACTGCCTCTTATATGAGGTGGCTAGATGTAATGATTTTTTTGTGATAAAGGTTTGGCTTAAAATGTATTTTAATCCATTTATTTTGATTCGTTCATGACAGACGGGTACATGCAGGGAAATATAGCTCCATAAGGGAACTTATTTTTTCAGATTTATGCCTGTTTTACCATCATCAACATTACATATCGCTGCTGTTGGAACAAACCGTTTTTCAGTTTTTGACAGAATTTGAATATATTCACTGTCCTTTACATCAAATGTAAATTTCATGATGAATGGACCAACAGAAATGACCCAAAATGACTTGGAAAAAAGTCTGGTTCCATTGACTTACATTAAAAGTAGAGTATGTTTTTTCCTTCTCCTGTAAAGTTACCATTTTGGAGATACAAGGTTTTGTTGGTGGTTTTGGATAGTAAATAAAAAGGCTATATTTGTGTTCTAGACATCATGACCCCTGGTTCCTATCACCACCACTGTAAAGAAATCTGAGTCTGTAAGTTTGAAGTCTGCAAATGAATCACTTCACATCCAATCACTTTGAAAGACTCTACATCTGAAGGACCGAATTATTCATAAAGTTTGAAAAAAAAATGGTGTAATTCCCCTTTATTAATACGATAAGGCAAATATGCCTGTGGACACTGGCCATTTGGTGTAATAGCTTCCTATGAGGGAGCCTTCAGAGGCTTGAAACTCTACAGACGTCTGGTTCCCATCACCACCACTGTTAACAATTCCGATTCGTTTCTGTAGAACAGAACATTCCACACCATGTTATGAATGTGTTTATAGATGCTTACAAACGTGACATTCATAGAAAGTGTTACCGTCCACGTTTCAGTGCATAATATGACTTACTGTAAACTATCAATTCAGTTAGACAATTTGGTAACACTTTCTATGAATGTCACCTTTGTAAGCATCTATAAAAGCATTCATAACATGTTATAGTGCATTCATAAGGCATTATAAACATGGCTATAAATATTTATAAAAATGCATTATACGTTATAGCCATGTTTATTATGCATTATGAATTGTTAACATAATACATTATAAGAACTGATCATAACAAATTATAAGAGCTCATAAGTTGTATTAGTCCGCTCTAAGTAAAGTGAAGCGTACTGTACTAAAGCCTCCTCCAGTGTTCAGAGTGAGGCTTCAAGTTGAAGTATTTACTGAAGGATTTACTGAAACACTAAAACATTCACAGTAAAGCTCATTACAGGCTTCAAATGTCAGAGTTTAAACTAGTGCTGCCATCAGTGTTTTACCCAATGTGGGAAAGGTAATGTTCACCACCGTTAGCTTGGTATTCGTCTTTACGCTCTCCAAGCTGGGACTTTTTTGACACTGACAGTATAGCATGTTATCAACACTACTTATAATGCGTTATATTAACAATTCATAATGTATAATAAACATGGCTATAAAGTGTCATTCATTTTTATAGATGTTTATAATCATGTTTATAATGCCATATGAATACATTATAACATGTTATAAATGTGTTTATAGATGCTTACAAACATGACATTCATAGAACGTGTTACTGAAAATTATTCATACATAGAAACAACAGAAACTGTGAACGTAATCTAGTGTCTGCCTGCATGATGTGCGGCACAGCACTCGTCTCAGGTGCATTCAGCTACAGTTTTATTCGATTTAATAGTTTGAAATCAGTAATTCTGTGTCTTAAACCACACTGTATTCCCTGATAGTATTGTAGACTCATTAAAATGAATCTATCTGTAATCAAAACTGCAAAATATTTCAATCAGCTTAAAATATTCAAGTCCATACAACAAATTCGCCAGTTTTAATTTCAGTAGGCTCACATTTTTCAAGTAAAACCAGCCACTAAACGCAATTTTATTCATTTTATTTTTACGAAGCGTCTGACGTATGACGCTCCTCTTTTGCGATTGGCTAATGCCATGTAATTTGCATACTGTGAATTTTCAGCAAACATGGCGGATGCTACTGCAGGCGCAGGAAAAAATCTTAATAGTTTAATATAACGCTGCACTCTAACCCTAACCCTCTCTAAACCTTCATTCTTCATAAATTCATTCTGTTTTTTTAAAAGATCTACGTAGATTACAATAAGGGACACGGTTGTGTTTCTAAGGAACCGTTTTGAATTGCGCGCGCTTTTTTGAACTGCTGTCAGCGCGCGTAATTAACAGTCAGACCTGTGAGAGACGGAGGAGATGCAGAAGGTAAGTTTGGTTTCAGTTCATTTTCAAAGCAAATACAATGCTGCTGTAGTTTTTAGCCTGAGTGCAGTTAAGTGGTGTTGGTGCTAGCTGCTAACCTTTTCAAGAGGAGGGCAGAGTTTATTTTATCCACACGTTCATTTACAGCCTATAAAGAGCAACTTCACGGTAATTTGAACTTTTTCTTAACTTTACTGAACGTGAGCACGTTAGGGGTGTAAAACAGTTTCCTAAATTAGAGGGATTTGAGAGTATTAAGTAAAGCTTTGGCTGTGCTTAAATGTGAATTTCCACTCTGCAATAATAGTGAATGTCGGCAAAGTAGAACAAGATGTTTAGAAAAGGTAGCTAATTTACTGTCTAAAAACACTGGCGCGAGGGAGGTGTAATGGAATCCAAACTTTAAACCTTTGGTGCATTGTGTTGAACTTAAACTTGAATTACAGCATGTATTTTATGTAACAGTAATTTTTTATTATTATTATTATTATCTTGCAGGCTTAAGTTATTGGTGATAAGAGCACAGATGATGTGAATACAGTTCATAGATGCATTTTTATTTTTTATTAATTGCAAACAATATTGTGATGCTCAGGCAGTGCGTGTTGTGTGATTATCATCATAGATCATATTTGCATTGTCAAAAAGTGATTAATTTGTATTTTTGTGTGCATGAATAGAATGCTACACTGAAGACAGAACATATGGTCAGTTCCTAAAAGAGCACTGCCTTGATTTATGTAAATGCCCTTTTCCAATTAGAAAAAAATTCCCTTCACTCCTTTCTGAAGACAACTTTAGACAGTGTTGTTAAGGCTATGTTTAGTAACTGAAGGTCTTTTGGAAATGCTTAATTTTGTCATAAATATCCCATACCTGCCATACATTTTTAAAAGTTGGCTTGTACTTGTACATATTGATTGACTAATGGATTGGAAATGCAGGTTGTGCAGTAATGCTCCTCTGATACTCGTGCACAGTTACTTGGGCATTATCGTTTGCAACATAGCCATTTTTTAAAAGTCAGTCCTTTGCCGTGTCTTTATGAAACATGTATTTGCACATTTCGATCATTCAATGCACTTAAAATTCATGTGTCAAGGTTTCACAAAGAGACAGAAAAAGTAGGGGCAAATCAAGGGAGACAAAGAGTGCAGGTGGTGTATAAATGTTGTTTGTGTGGGTTCAAGCAACCTTTTTCTGAGAAGATACTTTTTGCACATTTAGGAGGGCATTTACGAACCCATGAAATGGTAGCATGTCCATATAAGAATTGTGCTTATAGTACTAATGTGTACTCATCCTTTAATGCTCACAAAAGCAGAATACATGGTGCCTGTGCTGGTGCAGAATTCTTTAATGATGTCTATGCTGATGAAGACACTCTAGGCCTAAATGCTGCTGAATCTTTCGATGAGAATGTAGACCTGTGTGAGGGTTTGAGTCAACCTGAGAATGAAAACTCAGATGTTGACAGTGGGCAATGTGACACCAACCAATTAACTGTGCATTTACGTCACAATTTAGCTTCTCTTTTTTTAAAGATGCAGGCTATTCTTCATGTTTCTGATCTAGCAGCACAGGAGATAGTGGAGCGTTTGAGACAAATCTTTCTGTTGTCTAGACCTCTTCTGAAACAGAATATAAGTGAGGTGTTACAGAAACATTGCACTACTGTAAGTGATGCAGTTCTTGATGAGATTGTTAGTGTTGTCCTAAACTGTAATATTTTTGTCAGTGCAACAACTGCAGGTGGAGAATTATCCTCCAATAAGAGAAGAAAATCATTTACAGAAAGAAACTATCCTGTGGTCATGCCTTTTCAGTATATCATAGAGCCTGGACACACTGCAGTGTATGTCCCTATACTTCCAATGATTCAGGAGCTGTTCAGGCAAACTGATTCTATAATACTGTTCTCAGCCCGACCACTACACAAGTCATCGAGATGGTTTGTACTTTCGAGAAAATGAGTTGCTGTCAAAATGCCGTTGATTTTATATATCGGCGAGATAGAAGTAGCAAATCCTTTAGGTACTTCAAGGAAAATACACAAACTTCTGTCAGTGTACTGGGTTCTTGCTGACTTGCCAAGCAAATATCGGTCTGCTTTGCATGTAATACAGCTGGCAGTGTTGTGTAGAGTACCCGATCTTCAGAGTTTTGGTTATGAAAGAGTCCTTGGTCCTTTGGTGCAAGACATTAGAACACTGGAACAGGAGGGTGTGTTTATTGAGTCTCTTGGTCAGTCTGTCCAAGGCACTGTCCTTTGTGTTGCTGCAGATAATCTAGCAGCTCATGGATTAGCAGGCTTTGTCCAGTCTTTCAGATCAGAATATGTATGCAGGTTCTGCCTGGCTAGTCGAGACTTGTTTCAGTCAGGAAGTTTCTGAAGGTAATTTTGTTTTAAGAACCAAAGCAAGTCATGAACTGAATGTCCAAAACGTCACACAGGGTGAAGGTGACAATCGATTTGGCGTGTCTGGAGTCTGTTTGTTAAGACAAAGGTTGAAGCATTTTCATCCCATCACTGGTTTCCCTCCTGATATTCTTCATGACCTACTAGAGGGGATTGTGCCAGTAGAGTTGGCTTTATGTATTCAGGAAATGATTCGTCTTAAGCATTTCACTCTTGACTATTTGAATCAAAGAATTGTGTCATTTCCATATCAACATACAGACAAAGTTAATAAACCAAAGTCAATTGTGAAAACGTATGCTTCGAAAATGACAATAGGAGGCAACGGGCATGAAAATGCAGCATTACTGAGGCTACTTCCCTTAATACTAGGCAGTGTAATTCCAGAGGGTGATGGTGCCTGGGCAGTGTTAATGGAATTAAAAGACATTGTGGAGCTAGTGTTGTCCCCAACATTTACTGAAGAAACAATTCAGTATTTACAGACTAAAATTAGGGACCACAGACAGATGCTTCTTGAAGTTTTCCCCCAGTTTAGGCTCAGGCCAAAACATCATTACATCGAACATTACCCAGAATTGATCAGATGTTTTGGTCCTCTGGTTCACTTATGGACCATGCGATTTGGGGAAAGGACCATTTTTTAAGCGGGTTGTACATGACACTCAAAACTTCAAAAATGTGCTCAAGACACTAGCTGTCAGACACCAGTATATGATGGCTTACCATCTTAGCGCACCAGCATTTTTTAGACCACATCAGCAAGCATCAGTTGTGACTTCTGTATTGGTTTCGACATTACCTGAAGTGGCAAAGCATTACATTCAACAAAAGACAGAGAGCAATTCAATATACAGGACATCACAAGTTACCATTGATGGTACTGATGTTTGTGCTGGGATGTTTGTTTCTGCAGGTGTAGAAGCGGGATTGCCTCAGTTCAGTAAGATTGAAGATATCCTACTTGAAAATAATAATGTGGCCTTTCTCTGCAGACAGCACAAGTCTAATTATGTGGAACATCTAAGGGCGTATAACCTGATTCCAGGTGAACTGACTGTTTGCACTGTGTCAAACTTGAATGACATATGTCCTCTTTCTGCTTATAGCATAGGAGGCCAGTTACTGTTGACCCCAAAGAGATTTCTACTGATACATTGAGAAGGTATGTCTTCCTCTACTTGAACTTGAAACTGAACCTTTTTTATTTGTTTTATGAGAAGAGCAATCATTCACACAAGAACAAGGTAATATTCAATTCATTAAATATTTTAGAATGTGTGGAATATGTACATTAGCTAAAGTAGATAGTCATAGTAAAATATTTAATTTTCTTTGTTTTCATTAGATGGCGGAGTCTGACAGATTGTTATTAAGAGTCTTCATAGCCACAGATATTGCTCACAAGATGTTGCTTCCAACACGCCCCACATCAGTGCAAGAGCTAATCACCATAATGCGGGAGAAATTTAAACCTCATCTTGATTTTGACTTCAACTTACAATATGAAGACCCTGACTTTGGAGGACAGCTCTGCGTTCTTTCAGACATTACAGAACTGCCACAAAAGGCTGTAGCGAAGGTTTTCAGATCAGAGAGTGATACTAGCTCAACTGGAACTTCAGACACAGAATTACTGCCCCATGCCCTGGCACGTGTGCAGACCTGGCCTGATGTATTTCCTCTACCTCTCTTTTCCTATGATGTTGAGTACGTCCTTGAAGCTGGCAATACAGCATATCAGAATACTGGCAAGACTTTGAAATTAACAAGAGCACAAAAGCACGACATCTTGGAAAATATGGCCAAAACTATGCACACTTTCGAGGCGTACCCTAGTGATAATAGTGCCCTTCGACTGGAGTCACAGGTGAATTCTTTCTTAACCTTCTCCCATGTGCTCCCATTGTTTTCACTGTGTCATTTTTAAAAAGTAATGTTATCACTGTAAAAACTTTTAAGTTAAAGGTAATCTAAATTGAAAATCTCTGTTTTTGTATGTCTAGATTTGTGCAGAATTCCACAGGATCACAAATATGAACTTGCAAAGCAAGTTCTATGCAGAGCTAGACAAGCATTCACCACGACAGAAGGCTGCACGTACTGGCAAGACGGCTGAGGCTATGAGGAGCATCTTTACTGCCTTTGATGTACTGGTATGAGAGATCACCTTTTTGTATTTTAACAAAAATATTGCCTAGCTAATTTCCTTCATTTCCTTTGTTTTTCTTTTGCTTCTGCTGCTGCTTTTTCTGTTTCTACCTCTCCTTATCTGCTGCTGTTCGATTATGTTTCTTCTGCTGCTGCTTCTCTGCTTCTGCTGTAGGTGCTTATTCTTGTGTATCTGCTTCTTTCTATTCCTTTCTGTCCCTTATCTGATTTTGCTTGTGACTCATTACAGGAGCAATGTGATGTTAACCACCGACGTACTGCTGCACTTCGAGCCCTCCCAGTGTATCTACGTGAAGATGACTCTAGGTTTTTCAGGACTTGGAATGTAAGAGAAATGTTTCTTAAAACAATAATTACAAAGTTTTGGTGTCGAGTCACTTTGTGCCCTTTCCTGTCCAAACAGCATTAAAAAAAAATCAACTTCATGTTTCACAATTAAAAAGAATCAAATTGCATCCTAAATAGTTTCACCAGTAACTTCACCAGTGCCACAGTGTCTGGGATACTTGTACTAGTTGTTTGTTGGAAAGAGAGCGAAAAGTGACAGAATGATGGAAAGAAATACTGCACAGGATGTTTATAGTGTATATGTGTATGCAATTTTTTCAGACAGAACAAGAGGATGAGCCGGACATTGCAGACCTGGCAGTAGCTCTTTTAAGCGTGGTAAATGAAGACCCAAGTTCCCTTGTTCAGTTCAGTCCTGTCAGGATTGCCATTGTGCTGGAAGGTGACATTGTTCTGAATGAGGGGCCTAATTTGGCTGATGCTTTCCTCATGATGTTTGGTTTAATGTATGCACTACACCTTGACTATCCAAAAGAACTGACCCACACATTCAACTTCATCCAGAAAGTCCTCATGGGCTTAGATGACTTCAAACCACTATCACCCAGGTTACTGAATCTAAAAAATGATCTGCTGGTGAAGGTGTAAACTGGCAAGCAATATGCTGCTTCTAGATGGGACTGGTTGCATTTTTATTTTTTCCTCTCCCATTCCTACCCCTCCAATGTTTACTCAGCTAATGTTTGGTTTTTGCATTTATGGGAAGTTAGTTGCCTAAAGTATTAATGTGAATGGATTGTGGGTAGGTACTGTGCCATGATCCTGATTCTAACAATGGGGAATTTGATTATTTTCATCTGTCAGAGTTCATTCTCTTTTATTCAGTGAATCTATATGATGACATTAGAAATGATAAATTCAAAGTAACAATACTTAAGTTAACTTTTTGTAGCAGTTACATTCAGGCAACTTCAGCTCCCTAAAGTATGGATCGGTGGAAGTAAATATTCAGTTAATCAAATCATAAAATCATAAGTAATTTAAATTTGTTAAATAAACTTCAAAAGAAAAAGGTATGGTTCTGTAAAAAGTATTATACTTCCCCTCACAACCAGCTCCTGCCTATTTTGTTGACTTTACGTATTACAATGTTCTACTGCTCATTAAACTTGTTTTTGAGATGTGCAGTTTTTGTAGATTATAGTACTATTTTTAAATGCACAGTACATTTCAAATAAATAATACAAGTTGCATATAATTTTCTGATAAATGTGTAAAATCTAAGCTATTCAAAGTGTTTTGTTATTGTTAAACTGGTACAGAAACATGTACACAGAATTATACTTGAGCACCAAAGCACCTTTTCTGTGCTTGTGTAAAGAGGTTTTCCCCCTCTTTTTGCAGGTTTTGCACTTTTCTTTCTTGTGTTTAAAACACTAAAATGTGTGCTTTCTGTTGATGTATTTTAACTTCAGTGAAAGGTTTTACTGCGCCTCATTGAAAGCTTGTTTGAAAATACATTTACATTGAAAATGCTTCTTGAAAATACATTTTTGTTTAATGGGTACAGTAAATGTACACGGTTTTACAAGCTTGTATCCTGTTAGAGAATTATGGACATGTTCTAGAATGGTTACAATAAAATGCTAATTTTGACAGATTTCTGTGTCTTTGTGATTTTTTTAAGTTTTGTGATGGTATATGTTTGAGTTATGTTTACTTAATTACTTTGAGGTAATTAGTTTCCTTAAATGTTTTAGGTAAGGTATTAGACTTATTTTAGTACTTGCTGGTCAAAATATTTAAAAAAAAAATATTAAGTTAATTAAGACACATTTTTTTTTAATGTATACCCAATATTTTAAATTGAGTATATCAGACTTAAAAGTTCGCAATGTTTTGAGTTATGTTAAATTTAATGAATGTAGCTACGAAAACATTAAAAGATTAAGTACACTGTATACAATTTTTTAACGCCAAATGAAATTAAATCAATATAGTTAAGAGAACATTTAAATTTTAAGTATAGTGTAATCAGGTTTATTAAATTTGTTATACATAAAAGATTTAAGTTTTGTTCACTTTAAAGAATAGAGTTTGTCCACTCAAATATTTTGAGGTAATCAGTTTCCTCAAAAAATTTGAGTTAATTGAACTTATTCGGGTTTACAGTGCAGGCTTTCTCAACCTGTGGGCAGCAGAACACACCAGTGGTCCTCAGGCCTGTGCTCAGGGGGAGGCAGCAGTTTGTAGTAACCTATTAATTAAAAATGAAATTATAACCACTATAAGTATTAATAAAGATGAACAAACAAAAGCAGGCTGGTGAGATATCATCAGTTTGAGAGAAAACACAGCCGCGAGCATGTGATGCAGACAGCTAGTGAGATAGAGAAGTTTCTAAGGGTGCTTTCACACCTTCATTGTTTGGTGTGGACTTATCACACCCTTTTTTCTTTAGTTTGCTCCAAGTGCGAACACCACCCACAATGGGTCTGCAGCGGACAGCTGAACTGTGTTGCGGCAAAAACCCGGGTCACAATCCCTGGTTCAGTTCACTGCTGGTGGGTCTGTGAATTCATACAGAGCTGGCTTTCCTCTTCTTCTAGCAGCACGTCGGCACTGCACCGTCCACATAATCTGCCTGTTTTAACGTCATCGATCGTGCATTTTTGGCCGAGCGTCAGCGACCTGAATGGTTAAACTCAACCTGATAAACCAAAGACAAAGAAGCAGGAATCAAGTAGGATTGATTATTATTGTAAATTGCAACAGCACTAATTCAGAAGCCCAGTTAAGTGGAGCGTGGTTAGTGTGGCTTGACCATAGATGTGACACTAAAACCCTCAGAACTAAAGAGACCAACGATTTCTCTTTTGGGGAAAGCCAGTGAAGTTTTTTCAGTGAAAATACATAAAATTTTAGTGCTACCTTAAAGAGAGTTCCACCTTAAATTCTGTGCCAACTTAAATGAAGTTCCACCTTAAATTTTGTGCCACCTTAATTTCAGTGCTACTTTAAATCGGAGCCGCTGTGTACTGACGTTTTCTGCTCCACTCTGAAGGCTGAACGCTTCGCAGAGACGGAGGAGGAGAAGGAGGGGGATCCCGTCTTTTCCCACAACACCCCGCGGTCTGTTACGCAAAACCAATCCCGCCTCTCGCTCCCGCTGTCCAATCAGAAGTCTAGATTCTGATCCGTTTCTCAGAGCCGCTTTACTGGCGCGCCTTATTTAACCATTTCACACCCGACGACTACATTTAAAGGGCAACTCCACTGATTTTCCAAACTTTCTAAAATTTCTATAATTAAACGAATGTGAACTACGTCACTCAGAGTGATTCGGGTTGAAATGATTTAGAGGAGAGGGAAAAAACACACTCTACTTTTAATGTAAGTCAATGGAACCAGACTTTTTTCCAAGTCATTTTGGGTCATTTCTGTTGGTCCATTCATCATGAAATTTACACTCGATGTAAAGGACAACGGGTATTTTCAATAAGCTGTCGAGTCAGAGTTGTTCACAGTGGTGGTAATGGGAACCAGACGCCCGAAGACTTTAACTGCCTCTTATATGAGGTGGCTAGATGTAATGATTTTTTGTTTGGCTTAAAATATATTTTAATCCATTTATTTTGATTCGTTCATGACAGACGGGTACAAGCAGGGAAATATAGCTCCATAAGGGAACTTATTTTTTCAGATTTATGCCTGTTTTACCATCATCAACATTACATATCGCTGCTGTTGGAACAAACCGTTTTTCAGTTTTTGACAGAATTTGAATATATTCGCTGTCCTTTACATCAAATGTAAATTTCGTGATGAATGGACCAACAGAAATGACCCAAAATGACTTGGAAAAAAGTCTGGTTCCATTGACTTACATTAAAAGTAGAGTATGTTTTTTCCTTCTCCTGTAAAGTTACCATTTTGGAGATACAAGGTTTTGATGGTGGTTTTGGATAGTAAATAAAAAGGCTATATTTGTGTTCTAGACATCATGACCCCTGGTTCCTATCACCACCACTGTAAAGAAATCTGAGTCTGTAAGTTTGAAGTCTGCAAATGAATCACTTCACATCCAATCACTTTGAAAGACTCTACATCTGAAGGACTTGAAACTCTACAGACGTCTGGTTCCCATCACCACCACTGTTAACAATTCCGATTCGTTTCTGTAGAACAGAACATTCTACACCATGTTATGAATGTGTTTATAGATGCTTACAAACGTGACATTCATAAAAAGTGTTACCGTCCACGTTTCAGTGCATAATATGACTTACTGTAAACTATAAATTCAGTTAGACAATTTGGTAACACTTTCTATGAATGTCACCTTTGTAAGCATCTATAAAAGCATTCATAACATGTTATAGTGCATTCATAAGGCATTATAAACATGGCTATAAATATTTATAAAAATGCATTATACATTATAGCCATGTTTATTATGCATTATGAATTGTTAACATAATACATTATAAGTACTGATCATAACAAATTATAAGAGCTCATAAGTTGTATTTGTCTGCTCTAAGTAAAGTGAAGCGTACTGTACTAAAGCCTCCTCCAGTGTTCAGAGTGAGGCTTCAAGTTGAAGTATTTACTGAAGGATTTACTGAAACACTAAAACATTCACAGTAAAGCACATTACAGGCTTCAAATGTCAGAGTTTAAACTAGAGCTGCATCAGTGTTTTACCCAATGTGGGAAAGGTAATGTTCACCACCGTTAGCTTGGTATTTGTCTTTACGCTCTCCAAGCTGGGACTTTTTTGACACTGACAGTATAACATGTTATCAACACTACTTATAATGCATTATATTAACAATTCATAATGTATAATAAACATGGCTATAAAGTGTCATTCATTTTTATAGATGTTTATAATCATGTTTATAATGCCATATAAATACATTATAACATGTTATAAATGTGTTTATAGATGCTTACAAACATGACATTCATAGAAAGTGTTACTGAAAATTATTCATACATAGAAACAACAGAAACTGTGAACGTAATCTAGTGTCTGCCTGCATGATGTGCGGCACAACACTCGTCTCAGGTGCATTCAGCTACAGTTTTATTTGATTTAATAGTTTGAAATCAGTAATTCTGTGTCTTAAACCAGGCTTTCTCAACCTGTGGGCAGCAGAACACACCAGTGGTCCTCAGGCCTGTGCTCAGGGGGAGGCAGCAGTTTGTAGTAACCTATTAATTCAAAATGAAATTATAACTACTATAAGTATTAATAAAGATGAACAAACAAAAGCAGGCTGGTGAGATATCATCAGTTTGAGAGAAAACACAGCCGCGAGCATGTGATGCAGACAGCTAGTGAGATAGAGAAGTTTCTAAGGGTGCTTTCACACCTTCATTGTTTGGTGTGGACTTATCACACCCTTTTTTCTTTAGTTTGCTCCAAGTGCGAACACCACCCACAATGGGTCTGCAGCGGACAGCTGAACTGTGTTGCGGCAAAAACCCGGGTCACAATCCCTGGTTCAGTTCACTGCTGGTGGGTCTGTGAATTCATACAGAGCTGGCTTTCCTCTTCTTCTAGCAGCACGTCGGCACTGCACCGTCCGCATAATCTGCCTGTTTTAACGTCATCGATCGTGCATTTTTGGCCGAGCGTC